ACCTTAGCAAATAAGCCAGTATTAGTACACCACAAATGAGTTTTTGTAAGTCTTCCTCCATTCATTATTAGCTCAGGGTTAAAGCCCTTTTCCTTGCTGTTTACCTCAATAATAGAGTTTAAGAAAAAAATTCTAAAAAAATTGCTGATGGAAAGATAAGTTCATAGAGATGTCAGAGGAGACTAAGCAGAGCTTGCTCTAGATATTAAGATGAAAGTTTCACTTCAATTGAATTGGATCAATCGAATTCCTCAGATATGTATTGGGTTCCTTGTTGTCTTATACCAGGGCTGAGAGCAGGTGATTCAGAGTCCTTTACCTAAAAAAGTTTACCGTCCAGAAAGGGAAATAAGACAGGCTTCGTTGAGAAAGTGGTATTTGAAGTGTAACTTGAAGGGAAGAATGATTTACAGAGGTAAATGTAAGATTTTGCTAATTGAAGGTTGGGTTCAAACAAGTATAATTGTCCTTTACTATTTCATGGCTGCAAATGTTTATAAGATGTCAAAGGCATGAAAACTAAGTAAAAACATTTGGAGTGGTAATATTAATGATGTGTTTGATGATTGATGAGGAACTGTATTAAATACTCTAGATATTGATAGGACGGCTGTCCAATAAAACTTCCAGTGACAATGGTAATGTTTTATATCCGTACTGTTCAATTTGGTACCCATTAGTCACATGTGTCTATTGAGCACCTGAAATGTGTCTATTGTGACTGAAGAATAGAATTTTAAATTTTATTATAATTAATTTAAGCTTAAATAGCTACTGTATTGGACAGCACCAATCTAGAGCTTATATCAATGGACAGTATGGAACATATAACTCTAGTTATTGGTAGCGTAAATGCAGAAATGGACAAAGAGCCAGAAAGTAAATATTTCAGGCTTTGCAGGCTACATGGTCACTGGCATGGTCTCTGTCATATATTCTTTATTTATTGTTGTGTTTGTTTTCTACAACCCATTGAAAATGTAAAAAACCACTTTTAAGGACCCATTTGGTCCAGTAGCCATAGTTGGCAGATCTCTTGGTTATTTAGACTAGTAGTTCCCAAACTTTCTTGGCTCATGGTACCTTTAGGCCAAATGAAATACCTGAGGATTTCTTTTAATAGATAGTTAGGTCCAAACAACTTTAGAAGTTGTTATTAAGTTGAAATGAATTTATGTCCTAACCACATAATAGCCATTTGAAAAAACATAACATGCATCCATTGAAGGAAAAGATATTTTAACTTTATTCTTAATAATTACAATTATTTACTAATTGGATATCTGTCCCTGTTGAACACTGCACAGCTTCTCAAGTCTTGGAATCAACTGGACATTGCCTCTCCCATTTCCTGTACCATATTCATTAGAAGAATTGCTTTATGTCACAGCATCTGCCAAAGACCAAGCTTTGCAATAATCTGTTGTCAAAACTAATATAATGCAAACGGGTACTTACTATTTGAGCTAGTAGTTCACACAGTGCCTGACAGATGTTTAGAACTGCTGTTTCTTACATTTAAAATATACCAGGACACCTCTGTGAATATGCTGTAGCACCCCAGGTTTCCAGGTGCAGTTTCAGAACCAATCAGTCAACGATATGTGGCAGTGATCAAGAGTTCAATCATAAAAGCATTTTATAAATGAGGCTTAACATGGGAATCTTGGGTCTCCTACTTCTGTTAAAGTTGGAACTTACAGTTATGTAATAAATAGAATATTTTTAAAAGGAGACTTTAATAATTTTTTTACTCTTATCATTTAAGTGCCAGCTAGTCTGTAGGTTAGACAGGAATGATGCTCAGGATTTCAAACAGTGAAGATGTTTAGGTGATTGTGATTTGATAGTATTTAATATCATTATCTGTGAATCTAAATATGTCACTGAATTTGAAAATATTACCAGAAGAAGAAAAACTATGCACGACAGTGATCGTAAAGGTAACTTTAAAGAATTGTTTCTTAATTAGTCATCCAGCAAATGAGTGCTGTGCTCTCGGTTCTCAGGCTGTAACAGTGAACATAAGAGACACCAGCTCTATTCTCATAGTTTACTGTTGGGGCAAGGGCAGTCTGGGGAAATAACAGGAATAATTAATTTACATAACATACTTTTAAATTACAGTGTGGTAATGCTACAGAGGGGACAAGGAGTAGTTTTCTTGGCTTTCTTGCCAAGAAAATATAAATTCAAATATAAATTCAGTGACTCAGGAAAGAGCTTTGTGTGTGCAAAAACAGGAATGCTAGTGTAGCTAGCACAGTGAGTGAGGAAGACAGGGGTAAAAGACACAGTATGAAGTCAGAGAAGCAAACAGGGACCAGATCTTGTAGAGCTTTGTTAGGTCCTGGTGAAGTTTATCTTGGTAAGATGGGAAGCCATTGAAGGGTTTTAAGTAGGATAATGTCTAAGATGTGATTTATGTTTAAGAAGGTAACTCCCTCGTATGTGGGAAAAGGACTGTGGTAGGAGAGGGGGAATAAGAGCAAAAACAGGGATACCAGTGAGGTAGATATTGCAATATCATACGTGAAAGATAATGGTAGCTTGAACTTTGGTGATAATAATAAATATAGAAGTGAATGGATTTGGGATATACGAGGTCTGTCCAGAAGATATCCAGCCATATAATATGAAAAATAGAGACATTTATTGAAGAAGATACAAGATACAAGAAACATTGTACATAAGACAATGACGCCTCAGTACCCTTCCAAGTACACACCTTGGGACCTCACACAGTTCTCCCAATCATCAGCAGCTGCCCCATGGTATTCTCCTGAATCTCACCAACGGTCTGAAATCTCTTCCCTTTCAAAGGTGATTTTAGTTTTGGGAAAAGCCAGAAGTTGCAGGGCACCAAATCTGAGTTATAGGGTGGCTGAGTCACCTGGGTGATTTGATGTTTCACCAAAAACCTCTGCATGAGACGTGATGCATGAGCAGGCATGTTGTCGTGGGAAGCTGCTAGTCAGCAGTTGCTTATAGCTGCGGCCTTTTACATCATCTGTAGTTTCCACAGAGGAATGTTCAAGCTTAACACAATTTGATGCAGATTCATTGCTCTATTCAGTCATTTTTAATGACAGCCACGTAGTACACATGCTCACTCAACAGCATCTACCTCCCCTACTGACTAGTACAGTGAAGTTGTCATTGTTCATGTATGTGCATTCCAGTCCACTTTCCTTGGCTGCCAGGTTACATCCATGTTGTGCAAACCATTCTCGTTACATTAACAATGGCTGGACTTTTTCTGAACAGACCTTGTATATTGGAAATAGGACTACTAAGACTTGATAATAATTTGGATAAATGGAAATAACTGTCATACTTGTATGATCTCAAAGGGAAAGTTTTACCATTAAGTTGATTGTTGCTGTTTTTTTAAATATTGTTTGTTAGATTAAGGAATTTACTTTCTATTCCTATTTGCTAAGGTTTTCTTTTGTTTTAAGCATGAAAGGATGTTAAAGTTCATCATACTTTTTTTATCTGTTGAAATAAGCATATGATTTTTCCATTTTAATCTGTTAGTATGATTAATTGTATAATTAATTTTCTAATGTTAAACCAGTTTTGCATTTTTGAAATAAAAACAACATGACCAAGATATATATCCTTTTATCACTTCTCGGCCTTTTGGCTAAGATCAAGTGAAGATATATATCCTTTTTACAAATTGTTGGCTCCTTTTTGGTATTTACTTAGGATTTTTATATTTAATAATGAAATTGACATGCAATCTTTTCTTTCTTGTACTGTATTTATCTGGCTGTGGTGAGGTAGGGTCAATGTTTGTGTATGTTAGATGGAGGTGATTGCAAGGAATACAAAATAATTAGCTTAAAGTAGTGAAATGGTTGCTTTTGGGAAGGAGAAAACTCAAGATTTTTTAAAAAACCAATCTTGTAAAATGAACTTCTTATACACTGTACAAAAATTTTAAAATATTACTTTAAGTAAATATGGGTGTTACCTGTGAACAGGAGATAAGTGAAACCAGAAGAGTGGATGAGAGACTGAGAGTGGTAGAGAACAAAAGGAGAGGGTCAGAGATTAGATCCTAGAAGATGCCCATCATCTTATTATATGGATAGCTATTTGAATAAATTGATATTAAAAAATAAGCAGACTTTTATTTCAGTTTGAATTTCAGGTTCATTATGAAGGATCATTTCTAATTTGGTTTTTGTTATATATGATGAAAGCATGTAAAATAAGATATCTTTTAAATAATTGATGTTTTTACTTATTGCTAAAAATAAGAACATTGATTCTAACAGTTTGAGTATATGATATTAGTGTTGTCGTACAAGTTCTAATATTGTTGAGTCAAATCTCTAATTTTTTTTTGAAATGGAGTTTTTTCTTACTCAGGGGTGAGGTTCAAAAGTTAATGCCTAAAATAAAAATCTTGTATAGTAATGGGTAGGGAAGAACTAAGACCAATTGAGGAAACATCAGGTTTTGCCTCTTGTTTCACACTTTTTCGAAGACAAACATGCATTGAATGGAAATGTAAGTATAATCAACTGCACTATTTAAAATGTTTTCATTTCTGAAAATATTTTTGTGGAGTGCTTATAGTTGAGTTTTCATAAGATAAATATGCATACTAAGCAAATCCACTGTTTTGATATCTAATTGACTTCACTTGAGGATTGAATTATTATATAATCCATAAACTTTTATAAACTAGGGCAAGCTTTTGTTTTAACCGCTACAGTCCATATCATCCCCTTCAGAGTTAATCACTGATTATATCTTAAATATGAGAATTTTCCAGGATTATTGATTATATCAGAGTACGTAGTTTAAACTCAAAATATTTTGTCTTTTAGCCCCATAGCGTAGCTTTCCGTCTTTTTTTTTTTTGTCTTCTCCCAGAAAATAATGCTGAAGTCAAAACTTTGCTATTAATTTCTTCATGGATTTTACTTTCTCTTCTTTCTTTCTCACCTTTCTAATATTGTGCATTTGTTACAGAAAAGATTTTCTTCAAAAATGGATGCATTATCTTCAGAGACTAATGAAGAAAAGTAAGTTCATGGAATGCCTCTAAAAAATGTTAAACTCTATCAGAGAAAAGATACTTCTTCAACTAGTAAGACCTTTTGACTTTGTAACATTTACTTCTTTTACCCTGGAAGAGAATTGAAAGAGATTTCAAAAGTTATCAATAGGTTTTCCATTCCATATCTTTGTATAAACTCATCTAGATTCAAAGCTAAGAGAGACTTTAGAGAGCAGGTCTCATCTCTTCAATTTAAGGATGAGAAAATTGAGGCATGAGGAAATGAAATAATTTGTCTAAAATTGGCATCACAAACTGGTGGCCTGGTTACAATCAGAGACAATGTTTTTTCCTAAGCATTGTTTTTTAATTTTTGAATTAGTTGCCAAATATCAAAGCCTCAAGAGTTCATACAACAATTAGATTTTCAGCTTTCCCTTATAGTCTCCACCCCACCTGTTATTCTTGCACTTGCTAAATAAATTATGTGTGTAACCTTCATAGGAATTTTCAAAACGTGGTCTAAAAATCAAAAAGGAAAACCAGAGGTAGAGCCTCTTGATTTATAGTGCATTTATCTTATAATTTTACCTCTATAGATATTTTAAGTTATGTTGTAGTGATTGTGTTCTAAGAGATGGTTTTGTAGTATATAATATGTATTTTAAAACACTGATTTTCTAAATATTGAATTTAAAGTGTTACAAATTTTGCTAAATGAAAGTGATGTCAAGTGTTAAGTAAAAGTGATAGTCAATTTAAAAGCATGTAAAAGATGATGTGGGCTTTTGAAAAATCAGTCTTTTGCCAGTATCTATTTAAATTTTTTTTCCTCTTTCAGTGACAATATAGAGAGACCTGTTAGAAGACGACATTCCTCAGTAAGAAACATTTATTTAATTGTTAACATTTTTTGAATGATGACTACATATAACAGTAATTTTGACTGTGGCATCACCATTCCACCCCCACTGACTTCTGTTGCTTTCTGGATAATGGCTCAAATATCTAACCTGGTTACGCAATTCTATAAATATATTAAAATATGTATTTTATTGTCAATATTTATTAATTTCATGAATTGTATGCTATGTATATCGTACTTCAGTACAGCTTTTTAAAAACACATTTAGCCCTGGCCGGGTGGGTCAGTTGGTTGGAATGTCCTTCCATACACCAAAAGATTGCGGGTCGCTCCCTAGTCAGGGCAAATACCTAGGTTACTGGTTCCATGCCAGGTCAGGGCATTTATGGGAGGCAACCAATTGAAGTTTCTTTTTCATATAGCTGTTTCTCTCTTTCTCTTCCTCTCTCCACCCACCCGGCTTCCTGTTTCTCTAAAATCAATAAACATGTCCTCAAGTGGGGATTAAAAAAATGAAAATAGCCTTGGCTGGTGCAGCTCAGTGGATTGAGCGCCAGCTTGCAAACAAAAGTGTCTCTGGTTCCATTCCCAGTCAGGGCACATGCCTGGGTTGTGGACCAGGTTCCCAGTAGGGGGCTGCACGAGAGGCAACCACACACTGTTATTTCTCTCCCTCTCCTACACTTCCCCTCTCTCTATAAATAAATAAAATCTTTTTTAAAAATGAAAAAAAAATATATAATACATATGTGTACACACACACACACATACTGGTGTACAAAGCTGTAGCTAGACATAAAAAATTTCAACTTAAACTGATTTGAGGACAAAATTTGTTGGTTATGAATTTGAAAAATCCAAAGATAAGAAAGACTTTATTTATTTTTATTTTTTACAAAGATAAGAAAGACTTTAGGCACGACTTACCCTGGGTTCCAGCAATATCATCAGTAGTAGGATTTCCTTTCACTTTGTCTACTCTGACTGCTTTCTGCTTTCCCTGGGTAATATCCATTATTAGACAGGCTCTTCATGGTTACTACAATATATCTAGGTCTCCCAACTTCCAAGTTCAAGTCCTATATGAAAAATAGTATCTATGTCCTCAACACAAACACACACACACACGCATGCTACTCACACAAAAAAAGCCCTGATTGATATGGCTCAGTTGGTTGGGTGTTGTCCAGCAAAGTGAAAGGTTGCCAGTTACATCCCTGGTCAGGGCACATGTCTGGGTTGCAGGTTCCAGTCAGGTGCTTATGAGAAGCAGTGGATCAATGTTTCTAACAATGATGTTTCTCTCCCTCTCTTTCTTCCTCCCTTCCCCTCTCTCTGAAAATAAATTAACAAAATCTTTAAAAAAAACACAAACACTCAAGATTGAATCAGTTTCTTGATTATCTTGATAGGAGTCAAATCCTCATTCCTGAACTAACCACTGTTGCTGAGAGAATTGTGCAGATTGTTCTAGACCAGGAGTACACACTGAGAATGTAGCTAGGTTGGGATGGAGCTTCATTCAGACCACATGGGATCAGAGTTGACAAAATAATTGCAGAAGGTGGGCAGGGAGGGGGAAAGGAATAGATGAAAAATATTTAAACAAACCAAAAAGGATAGCACTGAACAGTATGAATTTGAGAGGTTTTTATAGGAATTTTAGCATCTCTACCTTTCTACTCATGGTATAATTTGAAATGAGCTGATAATTAATGGATATGCCAGATTTTCTTTAATAATTCTCTTAACTTCTAGATTTTGAAACCCCCAAGGAGTCCTCTTCGGGATCTGAGAGATGGGAATGAAATAGTTCAGGTAAGTTTAGGTAAGTTTCTAGTGCAAATGCTTCATAGATGACTATTTTCAATGATATTGTTAATAGTCAGAACTTTGTTAGCCATATGAAGAGAGCATCATAAATGATTCTCAATTAAATATGAACAAATAAGCATCCAGTGGCCTTTGGGTTAAAATCCAAACACTTGAATAAGCTGGAGCCCATAATTTTTAACCCCCATTTACTTTGCAGCCTTCCTTTCTTGCCACTCTCACACATGTACCTCACCATTTGGAATTGCTTATAGTTACCCAAAGAAGACATGAACTGTCAAACCTGCCGGTATTTACACATGACATTTCCTCTGACTAAATGGCCAGTCCTTCATTTTTCTCTTTTCTCCCAAAATTTTATTAAAATTGTTTTCAAACATACTAAAAAGTAGGAAGAATTTTACAGTGAATGCTTATATAGTCATCACCTAGTTTCTACAATTAATATTTTATCATACTTTATAATAAATCTGTAGCCCTCTTTATTTGGTAATTCCTATTTGTCTTTCAAAACTCAGATTTGGAATCACTTATCTCAGAAAAATCATCCCTCAATACCCTCTGTTGTAATTGTTTACCAATGTTTGTTCTAAATTAAGAGATCCCTGAGGGCAAGAACTTTATCATGTGTTTTTTAAATTTATTGTGCCCAGTACATAATGGCTTTTAGTACACTTTGTTGATAGATGTAACATTTTTGGAGAACATACAGTTCTGAGTGTTCATTCTACTTTTGCCTTTCTAATCTTTCTTTTTTACTTTCACTTTTCATTTTCTCTCTTTTTTAAAAAAAATTACAGTTTATGTTCAGTATTACCTTGTATTAGTTTCAGGTGTGGAGCACAGTGGTCAGATAATCAAAAACTTCACAAAGTGTTCCCCCGCCGATATTTTCACTACCTACCTGGCACCAAACATAGTTGTTAGAATATTGTCGACTACGTTCTCTATGCTATATTTTACATCCCACAACTGTTTTGTAACTATCAATTTGTACTTCTTAATCCCTTCGTCTTTTTTACTCAGTCACTGAACCCCCCCATCCACTCTAGAAACCATCAGTTTGTTCTCTGTCTCTCTGTTTATTTTGTTCTTTAGATTCCACATTGAAATGAAATCATATTTCTCTGACTGACTTATTTTACTTAGTATAATACTCTCTAGGATCATCCATGCTGTCCGAAGTGGTAAAAGTTTGTTCTTTTTTATGACTGAGAAATATTCCATTGTGTATATGTACCACAGCTTTTTTTATCCACTCATCTGTTACGGGCTCTTGGGTTGCTTCCATAGCTTGGCTATTGTACATAACACTTCAGTGAACATAGCAGTGCATATATGCTTTTAAATTAGTGTTTTGGGCTTCTTCAGATATGTACACAGAAATGGAATCATTGAGTCATAAAGTAGTCCTATTTTTAATCTTTTGAGGAACCTCCATACTGCTTTACATAGTGGCTACACTAATCTGCATTCCCATCAACAATGCACAAGGTTTCCCTTTTCTCCACATCCTTGCCAACACCTATTGTTTGTGGATTTATTGATGGTAGCCATTCTGACAGGCATGAGGTGATATCTCATTGTGGTTTTAATTTGCCTTTTTCTGATGATTAGTGACATTAAGCATCTTTTCATGTCTATTGGCTGTCTGTATGTCCTCTTTGGAGAAGTGTCTGTTCAGGTCCTCTGCTCAATTTTTAATTGGATTTTTTTGTTTTTTGGTGTTGAGTTTTATGAGTTCATTATAAATTTCGGATAGTAAGCCCTTATTGGATATATCATTGGCAAATATACTCTCTCATTCAGTAGGTTGTCTTTTTATTTCATTGATATAATCTTTCTATTACTCCAAATATATTAAGCTTTTTTCTGCATTAGGATCCATGTACACACTCTGCCTAAAATGCTTTCCTTCTGCCCAACTCTTCATCTGATTAGTAACTCACACGTCAGGTTTCAACTTAAATATATTGTCTCAAAGAAATCTTTCCTGATTTTCAGGCTAAATTAGTCTCTAATGTAGTTTTCCTTCATACCACTCATCATATTTTGTGTTTTTAAAAAGTTTTTATTTATTGATTTGAGAGAGAGAGAGAGAAACATTGGTTGGTTGTTCCACTTACTTTTGCATTCATGTTTCCTTCTTATATGCGCCCTGACCAGAGATTGAACCCACAACCTTGGTGTATTGGGACAATGCTCTAACCAACTGAGCTACCAGGCCAGGGCCATATTTTGATTTTTATATGTGTATGGATTTTTTTGTTTTACTCTTTCAGCATTAATGTTCAGTAGAGTAGGACTATATTTTCTTTTCCACTTTTTTCCCAGCAGTGAGCACAGGATCTAGAGTATGTATATATTTTTTTAATGTTTGTTTGTTTGCTTTTTAATTTTTAAGAAATTTATTGGGATGACATTGGTTAATAAAATTATATAGATTTCAGGGATATAGTTCTAGAATACATCATCTGTAGATCATATTGTGTGTTCATACCCCAAGTCAAATTTCCTTCCATCACCATTTATCCCCCCTTTACCCTCTCCTCCTTCCCCCCAATCCTGCTTTAAAAAATGTTTTTAATGAACTTTGAATGATTAAATGACAGATTCATAGACTCATAGAACTTTAAAATCAACAGGATCTCACCAGTAATCTTGAATCTGGTTTCTTCATTTTATAGGTGAGAGATATGGGGTCCAGAGACATTAAATGTTTTGTCTAAGCCCGCATTGCTAGTTAGTGGCAGACTTCAAATTAGAGGTTTAATCTACTAATTTCTAATACATAAATTTGTTTTTCTTTTTTTTAGCCAGAAATATGCTAGTATTTAGATCTGAGGATACTGTTGAAGAACAGTAGAAAGCCCCAGCCATTGAAGACTTGAAATAGTCTAGCAATTTCCCTTCCTGTCTTCTTCTGATAGAACTAGTCAAAGTTAGTTTACAGAGACTACAGCAAGTCAAGAAAGAAGTGTATATAAGTACCTTTGGAGGAACACAGACCTAATCCATGTAAGGCCACGTTGCCTAGATCCACCATGCCTTGTAAGAATACTGAGGAGAGTAGAGTTTGCATTTTGAAGATCAGTTCTGAAGATCAGAGGGAACTGACTTAGGTGATAAGTAGTTTATCACACTTTTTTCTCTCCATGCTGAATACTTCACTTTAGACCTTCAAAGACTTCTGTAAAGAAAGCCTTTCAAGAATAAAAAGACACTGTATTAAATTGTATTAGTCTCCTTTAGTCCCAGTATTTTCTGTGTCAGTATTATTATCATACTAAGGTCAAAGTGACCTGTATCATCCACTAGGATGAATGTTGCTGATTTTTGTTATGATAAGACTTATGTTCAGTTATTCAGAATTAAATCCACAAAATTAAATCCAGTAAAATTCTCTGTGGATTTTGTTTATTTGTCTTGCTTTTTGTTTTTGGTATCTATGTGAGTAAAAATGTTTACTCTTATTAAGGAGTTTGAGGGAAAATAAAAATATAATATATTATAATGGAACATGCTCAACATCAGTAATTATTAGGGAAATGCAAATCATAACCACAATGAGATGTTACCTCATACTCATTAGAATGACTACCATCAAAAAAACAAACAAAAAAACCCCAGAAAATAACAAACTTGTTATTTTCTTTGTTATTTATGTTGCCTGGGATGTGGAATAATTTGAATCTTTGTGCCCTCTTGTAGGAATGTAAAATGGTGTGGTTATGATGGAAAACAGTATTGTGGTTCCTCAAAAAATTAAAATAGATTTACCATATGATCCAAAAAGTCTGCTTCTGGTATATACTCAAAAGAATTGAAAGAAGGATCTTGATGGCTGGTGTGGCTCAGTAGAGTGAGTGCCAGCCTGCAAACCCAAGGGTCTCTGGTTCGATTCCCAGTCTAGGGCATGTGCCTGGGTTGCAGGTCAGGTCCCCAGTAGGGGGTGTGTGAGAGGCAACCACATATTGATGTTTCGCTCCCTCTCCTTCTCCCACCCTCCCCCTCTCTAAAAAAATACATAAACAAATAAAATCTTAAAAACAAATTCAAGAAGGATCTTGAAGAGATGTACACCCCTGCATTGTTCATAGTAGTCAAAGGGAAGAAGCAACCTAGTGTCCATTAACTGATGAATGGACAAACAAATGTGGTGTCAATGAAACATTATTCAACCTTAGAAAAGAGGGGAATTCTGGCACTTATTACATACAGCATAGATGAGCCTTGAGGCCGTCATGCTAAATGAAGTATATGAGGGACCAAAGCGAAAAAGTTATGGTTCCACTTAAGGAGTACCTAGAGTAGTCAAATTCATAGAGACAGAAAATAGAATGGTGGTTACATAAAGGACAGGGGGAGAAGGAAGTTGTTTAGTAGATACAGTTTCAGATGAAAAGTGTTCTGTAGATTGGTTGCATAACAACATAGATATACTTAATACTACTGAACTGTACACTTAAAAATGGTTAAGGTGCTTGAGTACATTATGCTAAGTGAAATAAGCCAGTCACAGAAGGACAAATACTGTATGATTCCATTTATGTGAGTTATCTAAAGTAGTCAAACTCCTAAAAGCAAAGACCAGAATAGTGGGTTGCCAGGGCCAGAAAGGAGGGGGAAATGAAAAGTTGCTAATCAACTGGTATAAAATTTCAGTTATGCAAGATAAACATGTTCTAGAGTCTGTACAACACTGTGCCTATAGTTAACAATATTGTATTCTACCTTTAAAAATCTGTTAAGAGGGTAGGTTTCTTACCATGTGTTATTACCACAATAAAATAAAAATAAATTTTAAAAATGGTTAAGATGATAAATTTTATTTATGTGTATTTTACTGCAATTAAAATTTTTTAATCTTAAAGATACTATAGTAAGGTTACCATAACAGGCAACATGTCACTTGCTTTATTCTCAGTCTCTCTTCTTGATAGCAAAATAGCCATTCACTTAAAAAAAGAGGAAAGGTAAGGGACAATAATCTCCTTAAATATATGTTGTCAGTATGCTTGTTATCACTCACAGTGAAAATTATATTCATGTTTGTTAAATGCTTGTACATTGGGATATTTTGGAGAATCAAATTAATAATAAAATTAATAATATCAAGTTATTCACAATAAGACTTGGTCTCCCTGTAGTACTCTGGGGACCTAATTCACAGTGGTTCCATTAAGAATCATACCATATATTTTTTGCCCCTAGGAACCCAGTGCTTTGAGGAATAAGAAAAGCTCTCGTCGAGTTAGCTTTGCAGATACTATAAAGTAAGTTAAAAGAAGAAATAATTTAAAGTGACAGGTAATGCTTTTTTTGTGTGTCAAACTAAATGCCAGCACTGACTCAGATAGCCTGTTGTTTCTATTAGGTAAGAATTAGAGAATTTGTTATTTTAAAGGGTGTTATCTAGCATTAAGCTTAAAAGAGAAACATTGAAAACATTTCCTCTAAAGTCAGGAACAAAACAACTAAGTCTTATACCTATTATTTAACATTGTATTGGAGGTGCTAACCAACATAAATAAACTAGAAAAAGAAATTGGAGTTATAAAAATTGCAATGATGGGCGTAAATCTATTATTTTTTGCAATTTTGCAAATTGTATGTTATGAAAATCTAAGAATATCAATTGAAATAACTCTACAGAGAGTAAGTAGTAGGATATAAAATTAACATATAGAAATCAACAGTTTTTCCTGTGTAAATAATAAATAGGTAGAAGATAAATGTCTTTTTTTCTATTATGTTAAATTTTGTTGCTATAAAGCATATAAAGAATAAAACCTAAGCCCTGTCCTGGCTGGTGTGGCTCAGTGGATTGAGTGCTGGCCTGCAAATCAAAGGGTTGCCCGTTCAATTCCCAGTCAGAGCACATGCCTGGGTTTCAGGCCAGATCCGCAATGGGGAGCACGTAAGAGGCAACCACACATTAATGTTTCTCTCCCTCTCTTTCTCCCTCCTTTCCCCTCTGTCTAAAAATAAATAAATAAAATATTTTTTTAAAAAAGAATAAAATCTTACTGAAGAATAATACTAAAGAATAAGTGTACAAATGAAGACATAACAAGTTCCTGAATAAAAGTATTCAACATGATAAAGATGTCACTTCTTCCTAAGTTAATTTATTAATGTAATTCTTATATTAGTGTTTTAATGATTATTTTCTTGCTGATCAGCAGTATATTTGTATTTCCTCATTGATTCAAGAGTTGTTTATTAGAGAATTTAAAAATATCTAAGTGGTGCTGGGCTCGTGTGGCTCAGTGAATTGAATGGCTGGCCTGCAAACTGAAAGGTCACCAATTCAATTCCCAATCAGGGCACAGGCCTGGGTTATGGTCCAGGTCCCCAGTTGGGGGTGTGTAGGAGGCAACCAATTAATGTTTCTCTCACATATGGTTGTTTCTCTCCTTCCCCCTCTCTCGGCAAATAAATAAAATCTTAAAAAAAAAAAAAAAAGATTAAGTGGTAAGGACATTTGTTAGCATTAATTTTCAGTTGTGTTGTAGTCAGAATGATAATCTTGTATTATTTTCATTTCTATTGAAATTTCCTTTGTAATTTCCTTTGTATATGATCAATTTTTGTGAGTGATTCATAGATACTTCAAAAGAAATATTTTGTAGAGTTTAATATATATTGTTTATATCCACCTTATACCTTGTGTTATTTGGGTCTTCTATAATCTTATATAATTTAAGTTACTTTTATATGTCACAAATTATAAAACAATTTGCCTCTTTATTGGTAATGCATCTCACTCTGTCTTTATATTCTCTGTAGTTTTTCTTTATGAATGTTGATTCTATGTTTATTGGTGTGACATTGTTATGTCTTTATTTGAAATGTACTTTCTTTTTTTAAATGCATTTTATTGATTATGCTATGACAGATGTCCTAATTTCCTCCACTTTGTCCCCCTCTATCCAGTACCCCCATTCCCTCCAGAAATCTTTCCCCTTAGTTCATGTCGATGGGTCATGCATGTAAGTGCTTTGACTACTCCATTACTTTATACAGTTCTTAACATCCCCTGTCTATTTTGTACCTACCAATTTGTGCTTCTTCATCCCTGCACCTTGGGATTCAATTATTAATAGTTGTGAATTTATTGCCATTTTAATGTTCATAGTTTTGATCTTCTTTGAAGCACTTTATCTGCTCTTTGATTCTAAATGATAGCTTTGCTGGATAGAGTAATCTAGGTTTTAGGTCCTTGCCTTTCATCACATTGAAATACTTCTTGCCAGTCCCTTGTAGCCTGCAAAGTTTCTTTTGAGAAATCAGCTGACAGTCTAATGGAAACTCCTTTGTAGGTAACTATCTCCTTTTCTCTTGCTGCTTTTAAGATTCCCTCTTTATCTTTAACCTTTGGAATTTTAATTATGATGTGTCTTGGTGTGGTCCTCTTTGGGTCTGTCTTGTTTGGGATTCTCTGGGCTTCCTGGACTTGTATGTCTGTTTCCTTCACCAAATTAAGGAAGTTTTCTTTCACTTTTTTTTTCACATAAGTTTTCAAATTCTTCCTCTTTCTCTTCCCCGTCTGGCACCCCTGTGATTCAGATGTTGGTATGCTTAAAGATGTCCCACAAGTTCCTAAGCCTATCCTCGTGTTTTGTTGGTTTTTTTTTTTTTAATTCTTTTTTCTTCTTGCTGTTCTGATTGAATACTTTTTCCTTCCTTGTGTTCCAAATCGTTGATTTGATTCTTGGCTTCATCCCCTCCACTGTTGGTTCCCTGTAGATTTTTCTTTATTTCACTTAATGCAAACTTCACTTCTTCTTGGTTCCTTTTGATATTGTTGCTGTACTCAATGAGTTCTTTGAGCATCCTGATCACCAGTGCATCTGATAGATTGGTTATCTCCATTTTGTTCAGTTCTTTTTCTCTGGTTTTGTTCTGTTCTTTCATTTGAGCCATATTTCTTTGTTTCCTCATTTTTACAGCCTCCCGGTGTTTGTTTCTGTGTATTAGGTAGAGCTGCTTTGACTCCCTGTCTTAGTAGTGTGGCCTATTTTAGGAAAGCGCACCTGTAAGTTGTTTTTGGCAGAGCCTTAGGTAATCGCCAGGTCCAGGCAACCCATGTCATTGCTCTGTTGCTCTGTATAGGGGAGGGCTTGCAAAGGGGACAGTGACACTGCCGGGTCTCTGGAGTTTTGCTGGGGAGAAAGCTGTCTCCCAGCATTCTCCCTGTTGCTAATCACTTCACTTTCTTTGCATATGCCATTCCAGCTGTTGCCCTGGTACTGAATCCCAAAGGGGGTGGGCCTGTATGAGTCAGTCCTAAGTCATTGCAAGCCCTTTAAGAGGAGTCTCTTGAAAGTGCCACAGTTTCTTCCGCCACCCCAACCCATGCCAGTTTTTACAGCCAGAAATTATGGGGACTTAACCTTTTGGCGCTGGAACCCTGGGCTCAGTGGTCTGATCTGAGGCTGGTATCCCTCATTCCTGAGGTATCCCTTCTGATTTTTAACCACCACAGGAGGATGTGGGACCATGCCTTCAGTGTCCGTAACTCTCTGCGCATCTCTGTGCGTCAGGTCTCTGTGTCTCCACCCCTCCTACCTGTCCAAATGAATGTGGCTTCTTTAAATCTTTAATTGTAGGACTTCCACACAGCTTGATTTTCTGACAATTCTGGGTAATATTCGTTTTGTAGTCTAGTTTTTGTATTTTTTGCTATAGTTGTGTGCAGAGGCAAGGTGTGTTTACCTACGCCTCTATCTTCTGGAATTGCACTTTCTAGCACTATGAAATGTTTATCTTTGTTTTGTTTATTGCTTTTGACACAAATTCTCCCTAGAGTGATATTAAGATTTCTGTCTCTGCTATATTTTTGTTTTCATTTGCCTGGTATACCTTTGTGTACTGTTCGATCATGTATGAGCAATCGTCAAATTAATCTATTTACTCTCCCCCAACCCAATTTTAGTCAGTAATATACCTTTGTACTATTAATATGTTTAAACTTCAATTAAAACTTCATTTTTAAAAAGATTTTATTTTTTACTTATTAATAAGAGAGGAAGGGAGGGAAAAGGAGCAGGAGAGAAACATCAATGTGTGGTTGCCTCGCACATATCCCCTACTGCAGACCTGGCCTGCAACCCAGGCATGTGCCCTGACTGGGAATCGATCCAGCAATCCTTTGGTTTGCAGGACAGCACTCAGTCCACTGAGCCACACTAGCCAGGGTAAAACTTAATTTTTTTAAAGATGAAATATTGCTATTTGTGGCAACATGGATCATCTTGAGAGTCTTATGCTAAGTGAAATGTCAGATGGAAAATGACAAGATTTTCTGTGTGATTTTACTCATATGTGGGTTATAAAACAAAGAGTAACACATGAATAAACAAACACAAACAAAAATATAGTCTATGACCAGAGAAGAAAGGTGGAGGGAAGATGAAAATAATAAAGGGAGTCAAATATTTGGTGCTGCATGGAGACTAGACTTGAGTTGTTGGGCACACAGTAGAGTATACAGATATATTATAAAGACATACATGTGGAAAAAAGCTTGTATCATCCTTTGGCAGTTATAATAGGTGAGGTAATTAGCATATTTCCACCTCTCACCTTCTGCCCATCATTCCCTCCCCCCGCCTTTTTTTTTTTAGTTATATCATCTTTATTTCTCTCAGTATTTGATGCTAGGGCATCTGTCACATTTGTTTGTCTTAGTTCTGTTATAAACAGTATTTAAATGTTCCACATCTGTTCCATTGCTATATATAGTAGCCCTGTCTCTTGGTTGACTGAAATTTCTTCTCTCATTGTTTCCCCAAGAAGGGCTCATTGAAATGATATCCCTGAGTTATTGGGTACTGAAACCTGTTAGTTATAACCTTTATACTTGAAGGTTTACGTGGATATAAAACCTTCAGTTTATATTTTCTTAAGGAATTTGTTACGGTCATTCCATCATATTTTGGCATTGAATGTTTCTATGAACAAGTTTGAAGAGTTCATGGGTTTTTTTTCCTGTCATAAAATGATTAGATCTTTTTTATCAGGCTGCCTAACAGATTTATCTTCAATGTTCATTGACTTGACTTGGATACATCTCCATTTTGAAATTTTTGTGTCTTTTTTTTTAAGATTTTATTTATTTTTAGAGAGGGAAAGGAAGGGAGAAAGAGAGGGAGAGAAATATCAATGTGTAGTTGCCTCTTGCACACCACCTACTGGGGACCTGGCCTGCAACCCAGGCATGTGCCCTGACTGGGGATCGATCCAGCGATCCTTTGGTTTACAGGACAGC